TGGAGAGGGTGTCTGAACTGGCCTACCCCTGTAATCAGATTGCTGAACACCTTAATTGTCATCATTGAACCTACATCCAGTTATTGATGGAAGCGGATGCAGAGATCCACAGCCAAGTACCAGGCCAAGCTCTGGAAGTCCAGTCAAAGAGAGGGAGGAGGGATTATACGAGCAAGGGAGGTCAAGATCATCATGGGGAAATCTACAGAGACAGCTGAACCAAGTTCGTGGGAACTCACAAACTTTAGACCAACAGCTGTGGAGTCTGCATGGCACAAAAGGCCCTCTGCATGTGGGAGACAGTTGTGTAGCTTGGTCTGTTTGAGGGACCCCTGGTAGTGGGACCAGGATCTATCCATGGTACATGAGCTGGCTTCTTGGATCCATTCCCTGTAGTGGGATGCCTTACTCAGCCTGGAAGCAACAGAGAGCAGCTTGGTCCTGCCTCAACTTAATATGCTAGGCTTTGTTGATTTCCCATGGGGGAGGCCTTACCCTTTCAGAGGAGTATATGAGAGGTGAGCTGGGGGGAGGGAAGGGTGGAAGGGACAACTGTGGTTGGTATGTAAAATTAATAAAAATATAAAATAAAGAGTGCTGATTTTTTGCTTTGTTTGCTTGCTTTTTCTTTGAAGGCAGGGCCTTGGTTGGCCTAGAAGTCAATAAGTAGACCAGGCTGTCCTTGAACTCAGAGATCCACGCGCATTGGCCTTCCAAGCGCTGGGATTAAAGGAGTGTACTGTTCTTACAGAAGATCTGAGCATGGTTCCCAGTATTTACACGGAGTGGCTGCCTGGACCATCTTAGGACATTTGCACTTAATGTGCACACACACAAGCAAAATAAGTCTAAAGAAAAACAGTAATAAAAAGAAAAACAGGAATGGGGGTACTCACAGATAAGTTACAGTGAAGCTTTGGGAAACTGGCACCCTGCACACTGGTAGAAACGTAAAGTGGTACGGCTAGCGGGTGAATCATATAATGGCTTCTCGTGGAACTGAAACTGAACAGGCTGGGGAGGGTCTCAGTGGTAAAGTGCCTGCTGTGTGAGAATGAAGACCCGAGTCCCATCTCCAGCACCCACTAAAAGTGGGTGGCACACACAGGAGTGTACATACACACCTGGAACCCCAGCTCTGGGGTGGCAGAGACAGGAGAATTCTGGAGCTTGATGCCAGCCAGTCTAAACTGTGATGTCTATGTTCAATGAGATGAGGGATGAGCTCAAGAGCTGGCTCAGTGGTTAAAAGCGTTTACTGCTCTTGCAGGAGTTTGGGGTTCTGGTCATAGCAATCACACAGTGGCTCACACAGGCCTATAACTCCAGTTCCAGGGAATCTGATGCCCTCTTCTGACTTCTGCTGGCACTGCAGACGTCCGGGGTGGATGAGGTTAAGGCTATAAAATGCACATGTAATAAACTGTCAAATGAGAGACAAAAACATCTTATTTTGTCAAAAATGTAGAAAATTTTCCCTACTTCTGTGAAGTACCTAGAATAGTCAAATTTACAAAAGTAGAAGAGAGGAATGGGATACTGTTCAACGGCTACAGAATTTCAGTTTTCAGGCTCTTACCTGGAACCCTACCTAGCATTTAGAAGTTGAGACAGAGAACTGCTGTGAGCTTGGCCTACATGGACCACACAGTGAATGTGAGGTCAGCCTGGACTAGAGCATGAGATCTGCTCTTAAACACAACAGGTGAAGAGATGGCTCAAAAGGTAAAGCACTTGCCACATATGTATGAGTACCAGAGTTCAGATCCCCAGAATCCATAGAAAAGATGAATTCTAGTGGTTATGGCAGCTTGACTGTAATCCTAACAGACAAGAAGCAGAGAAAGGTTTTATCTGTAACAAGCTGGCTAGCCAGGAGTCAGAACAGCCAATCTGAGTTCAGCAAGAGATCCCACCTCAGGTTGGCAGTGATTGAGGACACTCAATGCTTTGGACCTTGGGCCTCTGGAGGGAGCACAAAGGTCTTGCTCACACAGATAGCACTAGGAAAAACCGGAATGTTAAATGCAGGGTTATCTTTTCAAGGAAAAGATTTATAACCTGTTTTCTGCCCAGAAGGCTGGGAATGGAGGTGGCTAATAGCCTAAGTGTCCTTGGGCTATCTGTAGGGCCAGGTCCTACCAAACCCTCACAGGCAGGATCAGAGGCAGCTAACAGTCTAGGTGACCTCTGTGTTATGGCCAGGGGCTCCCCAGTCAGGTGGCTAATAGGCCAGATAATCTCTACACTATCTGTAATGACAGACCATATCAGATCCTCTCTTAGGCCTTGGATATTGGTAGCCTATCTCTAGAACCTATCTTCATGAAAGAAATGCCCTGTACTTTGAGAAGAGTCCAATGTAATTATGCCTCTTGTGCACAGGGGTTTTCCTACACCAGGAAACTTTCCAAACTGTACTGTACCTAAATATGCCTAAAATAACTGCCTGGGGTCAGATTCTAGAAAAGTTTGAACCAACACCTGCTACTGAGTTGAACCGGATTTCCTTCTTGTTTCATGTGCATCATTAATTACTCTGCTGGTCATAGTGCTTGCAGACCCTCACAGGCCTCAACATGCAGGTTGCACATGAACCCACATCTATACATGTGAACATACATACACACATGCTTGCACACCACACATACTCATAAAAAGGTGAAAACAGCACTTGCTAGCAAGGCTAATAACTCGAGTTCCACAGTGGAAGGGAAGAGCACACTCCTGCAGATGTCCTTTGAGCTCCACTTGAGGTGAAATCTGCTATGTAGTCAAAATGAGCTGAACTTTTGATCCTCCTGTCTCCACCCTCCAAGTATTAAGATTACGGTAGCCAAGTTTATACAATGCCAGAAATTGTACTCTACTGGTACATCCCTAGCCCAGGCTGCCCTGGCACTCACTATGTCGTCAGTAGGCTGACATCCTACTCCCCCTACCCTCTTGCTTCTGCCTCTCAAGAGCTGTACTACAAGTATTTATCACACACAGCAACTTTTGTGTTGTAAATTATCTGTTGTAATGACAGTAGTAACTTTCCCTCTGAGCTCCTGAAGGTGTGTAAGATGTAAGAGCTGTGCCGTGCTTCTACTATCACGGTCACTAAAAGTACACTTTGGACAACAAAGCAGTAGAGATAGGTGCTGGACCTCACATTCTGACAGAACAGGAACTCCAGACTGGGAAGTGGCTTGTCAAGGTCACACTGCTGAGGGGTAACGCTAAGCTCCCACTCGCTACTCCACACCCACCTGTCACCTGTCCTCTCCAAGGTCCCTCTGTTCCCACTTCTCTGACACTGTGACTATACTGGGCTCTGTTCCCAATAGTGGAGTGCTTGCCTAGCATGCACAAAACCCTCGATTCCATCCCAACATTACACAATTGTACACACAGGTTAATTCTAGCACTTGAAAGGAAGAGGTAGAAGCACCATTAAGTTCAAGGTCATCTTCAGCTACACAATGAGCTCAAAAACTGCCTGGACTACTGTGTCAAAAGGTGTGAGGGTGGGACAGGTAAATAGATAGGTTGGTAAAGTACTTGCTATATAAATATGAGGACCTAAATTTACAAGCCCACTGGTGGAGATAAGAGGATCCCTTGGGATAAATGACTACCAAGCTAGTGGGATTATAAACACATGCTACCATACTTGACTTTTTATGTGGGTTATGAATGTCACTGGAGGTTGACCTCTGGCGTACACACACACACTTATAATCCCAGTATACACACACAAATAGTAAAACTTTTCTAGTCTCACTTCTGTAATCCTCACCTGCAACTGAATAACACACACACACACACTGAATCAGACACCAGGCCTGAATCACAGGGTTTAATCAAGACATTTGCTTGAGGTGCTAAGGCAGGATAATAAATTTGAGACCAGCATGGGTTATGGGTTACATGATAAAATCCTGTCTGGAAAGACGTTAAGGACTGGATGGAGCATTAAATTTAAATGACCCAGCAGTCTAGATTGCTTGTTATGGGTTGATTTCTTGAGTTTAAGAAAGAAAAGAGAGGAAAGAGAGGAGGGAGAGAGTGTGTAGGGTGTAGATGATTAAGAATGCCTACTTCTGGCCGGGTGGTGGTGGTGGTACACACCTTTAATTCTGCCTTCAATCCCAGCACTTGGGAGGCAGAGACAGGGGGATCTCTGTGAGTTCGAGGCCAGTCTGGTCTACAGAGTAAGTTTCAGGACACGCTCCAAAGCTACAGAGAAACCCTGTCTTGAAAAACAAAACAAAACAAAACAAAACAAAACAAAACAAAAGAAGGCTTACTTTTCAGCCAGGCAGTGGTGGCACATGTCTTTAATCCCAGCACTTAGGAGGCAGAGACAGGCAGGCCTCTCTGTGAGTTCAAGGCCAGCCTGGTCTACAGAGTGAGTTCCAGGATAAGCTCCAAAGCTATAAAGAGAAACCCTGTCTTAGAAAAAGAATGCAAACTTCTCTTGCAGAGGTCCCAGAGCCCTCATCAGGCAGTTCACAACTGCCTGTAACTCAGATCCAGGGGAACCTGACACCTCTGGCCTCCTCAGGTATTTTCACTCCCATGTATATACCTACACACAGATAAACACAACTATATACAATTCAATGTATATGGGTATATATATGTGTGTGTATATACACATACACATATATTTAAAGAGTACTTGCTATGAAATCATGGGGATCACAAGCCTGTAACTCCAGGTCTGAAGAAGGCTGACAGGCCTAGTAAAGAAACTGTAAACCACAGGTTCAGGGAAGAGAGCTTGCCTCAAATAGGTGGACAGTGAGAGGACATCAGATGTCCTCTTCTGTCTTCAGTGGGAGCACATGGGTATGCATATCTGCACACACGTGTATTCCCACTCACACCCTACTAAGTTTTAAAATAACAAAAACCAAGTTTGCTGTTATGAACTGTCATCATCCCTATGCATCCCTCCCAAATAAGGATGACACTGATGTTCCAACATTCATTTTACTTAAGCAGCTAGAACCAGATTTGGAGCAGTGTGAAGGGACAGGTGGCTGATTGGGGAAAGGAAGCAGGCATGGGGAGAAGACATGATGTAGGTTGAGTTGAGGGCCTGGAATTCACAATCAAAAGCCATGGACGGCAGCTTGATCTTGGTTGATTTGAAATTCTGTCAACAGTATACAGATGTTTCGATGGCCAAGTATCTGCAGACACATGACCGGAGCATCCACTTGCAGGTTGGGTTAACGTGAAAAACCAAGGTCCTTATGGGAGGGAACGCTGGGTTGTCTGGGTTCTGCATTAGTGGGTTTTGAGTCCTGGGTTCCTGAGGCCTGACAGGATGAGAAGGAGCTGGGCTGCATAGTAGGTGGTCATGATCACATGACGAGCAAAAGGTAAGGAACGAATGAAAGCGTTCCAGGCCAGCACACCATCGGAGATTGTGAAGAGCACACCACCCCAGCCAGCACTCCCACCCCTGACAAGGCTGCGCCACAGCATGGAGCTCAGGATCAGCCCATAGGCCAACACAGGAAGGACCATGTCCGGCTCAAGGTGTGGCAAGAGGAAGCTGTAGTATATGAGAGAGGCCAACATGATGTACAGCAGCAATCCGGGCTGCAGAGGGGACAGGCCAAAGGCCCGGAGGTAGAATAAGTGGGCGGCAGAGAAGGCAGCCATGCCTGAGGGAGAGAGGGATGGGCACCCAGTGAGGTAGGGGTAGATGCCCAGTGAGGCAGAAGTTGGCCTCCTGCTTCTCACTGTTGCCTTGGCCACCACCAGGCCTAAAGGAACAATGACTCCAAAGTGCCAGCTCCTTCCCCCATGGCCACAGCACTATCATATTCTACTGAGGTTAAAGTACCCCTTTTCCTGGTGGGTTTCCAATTTCATTCCATTCTTGAGTGTTCTATCAGTTCCCAGAGCAAAGGGAATGACTTAAAATTCATACTATGTTATGTGCTTGCTCTGTTCAAGAGTCCATCAACTCCACACCGTGTTCTAAGAAGCCCTATACCCTCATTTCACCACCTCTACTCCAGCCAGACTGGCCCACTGGGGCAAAATAACTCACTTGCTATCACCCCAGGTCCCCCACCTATCCCCATGCCCAAGATGGCCCATCTCCCCACATGTACACACATTCTTTTTTTTTTTTTTTTTTTTTTTTGGTTTTTCGAGACAGGGTTTCTCTGTGGTTTTGGAGCCTGTCCTGGAACTAGCTCTTATAGACCAGGCAGGCTGGTCTCGAACTCACAGAGATCCGCCTGCCTCTGCCTCCCAAGTGCTGGGATTAAAGGCGTGCGCCACCACCGCCTGATGTACACACATTCTTAAAAAAAAAAAAAGGCCTCAATATGTGTGGTAGTGAAATTTCTGTATATTCCTGTAATCCTGGCACTTGAGAAAGCTAAGGCAGGAGGATCCTAAGTTTGAGGCCATTCAGACCAGCCTGGACTACACAGATGTCTCAAAAACAATTCCCTGTCATCCCCACCCTCCTCGACTATGCTGCATTTTAATTTTCTCCACACTATTCATTCCAACCAGGTAATCCCACACCTTCCAACCAAATAGCCTGAGCCCAAACCCTTGGATGAACTATGAGCTGACTGTCACTCATCACTGCCTCCTGGTGTCTTGGGATCACAGCCTGGTTCAGCCCAGTGGATTCTAGGGGAAGCTCCTTGTAACCCAAGTAGTGTCCCAGCACTAACTCAACTCCACAACAGCCCTAGAAGTATTTTCATAGGGTCCCTGCTCACCATAAAGGAAAGTTTTAGGCCAGATGAGGCAGGCATCGCCCACAGCAGAACACACAAGAGCTCCTTGGAGGAGCCAGGAGGAGCTCCTACCAGGGGTCACAGCCCACAGGAACACAACCAGGCAGAGGATGGGCAGGCACTTGACCAGGGCACTGACCCAGGACGGTTGGTCCTCAGGAATCCAGAGGAGGAAGTAGAAGGAGCAGGCAAGGATGAAGGGGACCAGCCACCTGCAGACCTGTGGGTGCTTCAGGAGAGGGAAGCTGCTCAGTCTCCCACACTCAGCACAGTCCTCAGGTGGGAGTCACAGCAAGGACGGTGGGAAATGTCTACAATTCCAGTACTTAGGAGATGACAGGAGGACTCTAGGCTCAAGATCAGTCTAGCATACATAGTGAGGGTCTATTTTAACATCTGCTCCCCACCCCATACCACCCTCATGCCAGGACCCAAGTTGTGTCCAGGTTGGACTTCAGCATCTTTAGCCACTTTGGTAATTTTGTCACTCATGTCTCCTGCAAGGACAAAACTACAGTACCTTAGCACCCAAACTCCTGGAAGGCTAGGGGATCCCAACCAACTCACCACGCAGAGAATAATCCCAGGCCTTAGGGCTGTCCACATTCCCAGGCCTGAGCCCACCCCCACCGCATAGGTTCTCACTTGGTCTGAGAAGAGTGTCTTCAGAAGCAGCCCCTCTTTTCTAGCATCCATGTTGAATGGTGTCTATTTAGGAACCAGTGGCTTCAGAGGGCAGAGGGGAAGTCTTGTAAGGTTATACATTAATCCAAGTGTGTCCTGTGGACTCTGGGACTGATAACAGGGCTCACCCAAGGTCTGTTCTTGTCTGGCACTTGCTGATAAGGTGCCCATCAGGACTCAAGGGTCCCTCCACCCTTAACAGCCCCTAAAAACCTGGCCACCTACTCCTCTTACAGACCACCATAGGTGAGCTCCTACTAGTGGACCTCCCATTGTCTTCTGCACAGTCAATCAGAAGGGACAATGCAGGGTTCTACAGAGGGGTACCTACCCCCAACAACCAACACTGAAGAACAGAAGCAGGAAAAGACTCCAGAGTCGAGTCCTGCCACAAGCACTAATTGAAAAAAAAACCCTGCCTTGTGCTTGATGTCACTCAAACACATTTTTCACTCCATTGTATTTTCACTGTTATGTAGCCTTCCCATGTAGATAATACCTACTCCCAAGGCAGCTCCCTGCCTATCCCACTTTTTTGTTTTGGATTGTTTTTCTGAGACAAGGTTTCTCTGTGTAGCCCTGTCTGTCATGAAACTCTCTTTGTAGACCTTGCTGGCTTCCAACTCATGTAGGTCAGCCGCCTGCCTCTGCCTCCTGAGTGCTGGGACTAAAAGCATGCACCAACATGCCCAGCGCTTCCTATCCCCTTAGTGGCAGGAAGCCCAGCTCCAAGGTCCAGGGACCTCTTGCTCTTCCTAGCAGGTCTCAGCTAGAGGAGGATAGGGCTATGAGCTGACACAGCATAGCTCCTACCCTGATCTGCATTTCAAAACAGGGTCAAGGAGGTGCATATCAGGATGAGAAGGATCCCAAAGTGCTAGACCAGTGCTCTTTCCTGATGTTCTGCCTGGTAAGCATTAAGCCCACTACACACACAACACTCTCCTTCCTCCCTCCCTCCCTCCCTCCCTCTCTCTCTCTCTCTCTCTCTCTCTCACACACACACACACACACACACACACACACACACACACACACTCACCAGTGCAATCCCAAGAAAGAGAATGTAGAATGTAGTTCTCTCTAGGCCATGTGGAGCAGATTCACCCAACCCTGAACCCAGAACTCGAGCTCTGACACCAGGAATCTTCAGCTGTCTTCCTTTATTTATATTTGCAGTATGAAACACAAGCTCTGCATACATACTTGCACACTCACACCAGCCTGGGGGAAGGAGCTGGGACAAGGCCACTTGGCAGCAGTGCTGGGACCGTCAGGGCACTGGGTACCCAGAATCCCCAGTTCTGGGCCTCTGGGGATGTTGCCAGGGAAGCCCTGCTCCCCAGGGCCAGGGGCCAGATGCCTGGTCGAAGTGCAAGGTCTAAACAAATACATGGTCATCCGGGTCTAATGCCCTGTTACACCCCAAGGTGGTCCTGAGTGAAAGGCTGGGTCTAAGCATCTGCACCAGAGCACAGGTCAGCAGCCTCAAACCCCGGCGCCAGTCCCTGTTGGGACAGGCGGGGAGGTTGTGCTTCAGCGCTACTGACCCAGTTATTGTCCTGGCTTCCTTTCTTACTCCTCCCTCTCTCTATATATATATAATATATAATATACGTCTTTCTCTCTCTCCTTTCTCTCTATGTGACTCTCTATCTTTATTCTAGGAGACAAGGCTCCATAGTTTCTCTTCTCAGTGCAAATGGGGGTGGGTGAGGGTATCTCCCTGGCACCAGCCTCCTTTGGAGTCCAGAGGAGAGAATGTGGGATATGGGATAATGGGGCAGAGATCCACCAAAGGACCCATCTTGCCCCACTGGGGGATTCCATGGGGAGGACAGAAGATTTGGCCACCACTGCCACCAGGCAGCTACCTGGAAACAGAGGGAGACACTTGTGAGGGTCCAGTGACCCCATCTTCTCCACCCACCCCAGGCTGTAGGCACACTCACTGGGAACTCGATGAAACAGGCTCTCCTGTGGTAGAGCCATTGGGTATCTCAAGGCCCTGGGCACTGTTAGGGAAGAAAGGAGATCTGGAGATTATTTCTTGTCCCACCAGCCTTGCCCCCTCCACCAACACTGACCAGAGAGGCTAACTCACCTCTGGCTTTGGGGAAGCCCCAAAGGTTCTAGGCTCTTTTCTCCCTCCACAGTCTGGGGGGACTGGTAGGCCTCGAAGGCTGGGACAGAGGTAGAGGGGTCTCTGGTTGCACTGTAGAAGAAACCAGTTTGACTACTGTTAGATGCTCCCAGAGCTCTGCCTGCCTGAGGCCACTCATCAGGGGCCTCGGGTGAGGATAGGGCTGGGGAGCAGAGAGACCTCAGAACAGGGAAGCCTATGAGCATACTGACTGCAGAGCATGGTGGGGATGCAGAGCTGCAGGGGGGGGGGGGCAGGCCTCTTCAGCCTTACAGCTGACAGCTTTCAGTGGCCACCCCCCTGCAAAATATGGTTGTGGTGCCATGCACACTCCTGCTTCATGTGGTCCCTGATCTTCTTAGAAGCTGTTCTCAACTCTGGAGTTGCAAGGGCCCTATGTGCCACTGTCCAAAAAATTTAATTACTAAAAAGAACAGCTACAGGGGCATAGGAGTTCAAAGAAGAGTTTGGTGCTAAGGACAACTAGGGAGGGACAGAGTCCAACACCCACTTCAGCAGGGAGGATGGGCTTCCCCTACACCACCTCCAGCAAGCAGTTCAGATGGAATACCAATGGTCACCTGTCCAAGGAGCTGGGGGCAGAGCACATCCCATGAAGAGTGGCCTGGACATCCGCAACACTAACCAAGGCCTGGCAAGGGGCTGTGGAAGAAGAGATGGGTCACATCTCAGCTGCTACCTTCCAGCAAGCTGAGACTGCTGCTGTCTTCACACATGTGGGCCTGAGGCAGAGTTCAGAGCCCTTATGGGAAAGGTATGGCGTGACTTACCCAAAGGCTCTGCTACTTTGCTGCTATCTGTGACTTCCTGAGGTGCTGAGGGGGGTGTAGGGTCCTGAGACCTACAAGTTAAGAGAGGAGTTTGAAGGTGTGGCTGTGGTGAACACCCAAACCAAAGAGAGAACTAGGATGTGGGAGCACCTCCCAGATGAGAGTCATAACCAACTGCCCTGGCCCTGCCCTGCCCATCCCCACCTGAGCTGTGGGGCATCATGGGCTGGAGGGCTGGTCAGGATCTGGGTAGAGGACATGTCTGCCTCCTTGGAAACTGAGGGTCCTGTTGGGGCATCCATAGGCACTGGGTCAAAAGTGGCTGTCCAACTTGGGCCTGTGGCAGAGGTGAGAGAACATGGACAGAAAGTAAGCTGAAAGCAGGTAGACACTCCGTGTATACCTGAGCACAAGCCAGCAAACACTTACCAGAAGGCTGAGGGCCGGGGCTGGGGAAGGAGGAAGGGCTGGTCCTTTCACAGGCTGCCTGGCCAGCCCCCTCATCCTCATCCTCTTCCTCCTCATCCTCCTCGTCCTCCTCGCTGTCTGTGCTTCCTCCACTCCTGCCTCAGATACCAACTCATCAGGAGGCCATGTAGGGACAGCCTACTGACCCACTTCCCCAACCACAGAGCAAATGACAACAAAAAGATGACAGGGAACAGAAAGAAGCCTCCAGAGAGACCCAGGGAACCCAAGGATGTGAAGATGCTGGAGAAGCCAGCAAACAAGCAGAGTCTGAGTCACTTGAGAACAAGACTAAGCCACAACCACAAAAAGCGATGGGCACCAACTCTCAAGTCACCTTTGTCACCAAACACACACAGACCTCTCCACCTGCGAATCAGCCCCAGAATAAAAAGATTTCCTTTGCTTTTCCCTCCAGCTAGAAATTGCAGGAAACACAACTGTCACATCCTGAGAACACCACCTAGCACCCTTGGCTGCTCTAAAAATAGTCTGAATACTTATGGCAAACAGTGTGTAACCATGAAGGAAATCCCAACCGCCTGTACACACAAAGGAGGAAGGAAGAATTATGGTAACCCAAACTCAAAGACAAAAACCACGTTACCCCGTAGCTGTGATATAGTGTAACATTTAGAAAAGAGACCAAAAGGGGAACATTAGGTAATGAGGGAAGATAGAATGTAGAAGCCAGGCAGTTGTGGCATACATACATCTTTAATCCTAGTACTCGGGAGGCAGAGGCAGGCAGATCTCTGTGAGTTCAAGGTCAGCCTGGTCTACAAGAGCTAGTTCCAGGGCAGGCACCAAAGCTACAAAGAAACCTTGTCTTGAAAAAACTAACCCCCCCTCCAAAAAAAAGATAGAATATAGGCCAAGAGGACATAAGTCAGAAAGACAACACAAATCTTTCTATTTTTGCCTATCTCACTCAGTTCCACCATAGTTTGTCTTTTACCCCAAAGCAGGTGAGTGAATTCAGTGTTCTGGGTATTAAAGTAGCAAGAACCATAAACCAGTGATAGAGTAAGTGTAAAACCCTAAGTGACATGCCAGTGCTTCAGAAAAGCTACGTGCTGTATGGAAGAACTTCGATGAGATGTACAGAGCTGGGACTGAATGACTTCCTTCAATCAGCCATGTAATGCTTTTGTGAGTTCATCAGAATAAAGTGAAGAAAGGAAGAATGTAAGAACACGAAAAGCATAAAAGGGTGTAGTGGTGCATGCCTGTGATCCTAAAACTCAGGAGGATCAGAAGTTCAAAGCCATCTTCAGCGACACAGCAAGTTTAAGCCAGGCTAGGCTACATGATGTCTCAAAAAAAAACAAAAACAAAAAAACAAAAAACCAACTTGAGGGATCTCTTTAAAAAACTAACACTAGATCTGCTACACTGTGTAAGGTGGCTCTGGGTATACACATAAGGATTCTAAGTCAGCACAGAACAAAGATACCTGCACAGTTGTTTATTATGATACTATTTACAATGCCAAGTTAATAACATCAGTCTCAGCATCCATCAACAGAGAACTAGACCAAAAAAAAAAAGTGATCCACACACAAAAAGAGGTTTGAGTTTTCTTTAGCCATAAACAATGAAATTACGACATTGGAAGGCTAACAGAGACCACCATGTTAAGGGAAATAAGCTAGCTTACAATGACACAAAAAGAGGGCAGCTAGTTGGGAAGAGGAGAGGGGGAATAGGAGAGTTAGAAGAGTTAATAACACATTAAAATGTCACTAAGAAATCTACCATTTTGTACAATGAACCTGTCCAAATCTCTGTGTGTGTGTGTGTGTGTGTGTGTGTGTGTGTGTGTGTGCATGTGCACATGTGTTCATGCCCACTTCACTTGAATGTGGAAGTATGCACACACAAGCCAGCAAGGTGGCTTAGCAAACAAAAGTACCTGCCACCAAGTGTGACCACCTGAATTCAATCTCTGGGACCCAAACTGTGGAAGTAGAGAACTAA